TTTTGTTATAGATTCTGCAGACCAATTCGACTGTTAACTTTGACTATCGACCAAAATGAATCAATAACTGATTCCGATTGTGATTGATTTACTATGGATCAACAGTTAGAATTGGCAGTCGGATTGATCTGCAAAGTCGGTAATCTGATATGGACTTTAAAGGGATCCTAAAGTGAAAATGGAATTCGGACGGAACTCGGAATCGCTATTTTATTTATTTAAATAGGACTTACATATACAATTTACGTATTATTGTTATCCTCAATATGTTATCATCAATATTTTATGTATACATAAATTTTAGAAAACAATATTGTATAGAATTAGATGTCTAAATCTAATTCCAAGAACTCGATGTTATGTTTTCGTGTATTGTACTAATATGTAGCCTTCAATTTCGTAGAATTGCAGAATTTATATAATACATTAAGCAATTATTGTCACAACTTAACAATTGTAGACAGTGCCTAATATTGATTGGACTATAATGTAGAGAAGACTTTAATTAAAAAAATTTTTGTCGTTCTTGGCGATGAAGATATTGTATATACAATTTTGGACTAAAAAAAAAAACGATTGAACTTTCTCTCCAACTCAATATATCATTCGGTGAAAATTATTATTTTTAATAAATAAAAAACGACTTTAGAACTTTTTCATTAATGATCCCTTATTTTTGTTGCAAAAATGTATTTGTAATATATATTTCTATACGATTACTTTAATTCTTTTCCTCTAATTTTATTTTTGTGCTAATGTTAATTTTACATCTATAATAAATGTTAATAAAATTTTACATCTATAAAATTATAGAAATTGTCAATAAAAATTACGTTCTAGAAGTTTCATTTTATATTAAATAACTGCATTTAACGCATAAAAAATTATACTTCCTCCTTTAGACTCCGAATTATCATCTTTTTTAAAAAATATAAAATGTACTCCTTTCATATGATTCAGAGATGGTAACTCTACCTTAAAAGACAGTATAAAAGAGCGCAACAGGATACGCCAAGAACGGCCGTCATTTGTCCAGCCAGTAGTAACATTCAGCTATAATTCCGACCTTAATCGCATGATGCAACGACGGAAATGCGCGAAGAGGGCGGCCACCTATCAAAGGGGAGGTATTACTCTCCGCATTCCTACGCGCACATGACGGTCATTCCGTCGGTAGTGAAAAGAAACCCCATCGAGAGAATAAAGTGAATGGAAGGCAAACGATCCGCGGGGAAGACGATTCGCTTTGGCAAGCTGAAATTGCTCTTTTGATCGAGAACAAATACTAAATACATCGATAAAAACGACGGGCAATAGCGTAAGCTTTTATTTGTACACAATCTACGTTACGAGTATTCAGACAATTTCTATAATGCGCCATAAATATTCAAAAAGAAGATAGAAAAGTCATATTTTTCAAGGAAATCCGATTAGATCTCTCGATATTTAGAAGAATATCTGCTTCCTAAATGTAATTAACATTTAAACAATCGTAAACTTTATAATATCTGTTTCATATAAGACAAAATATGAATTAAAACAAAAAAACTTACGTTTCGTAATATTTGAAGATTAAAATAAAATTAGGAATCCTTTTTATGACATAAAGGGGAAAACAAATAATCTTTTTTAACGATATTGAATTCTATTATCCATAAAAGAAATAGATTTGGAAACTGTGTGTTGAATGGCGGTTAGTCGTTAGAATTTACAAGCTGTTTCTCTATGCAATTGGACTACGAAAGTAGTTACACAGATGAGAGAGAGAAAAAGAGGAGGGGGGGGGGGGGGGGGGAGGGGGGGGGGGGGGAGGTGAGAAGAGAGGGGGGAACGTACTTTCTTCTATCGCGTTGATAACGAGCACGACAGTTTTTTCCATCGTAAAATAAAAATATTCGTCTACTAGCGACGGTCTCCAGATGGGGATGATACAAAAAGGGAGAGAGAGTGCGAAGTCATTTTTCATAGTATATTGTTTGGCATGCTTCCAGCATTACGTGCTTCCATAAGCAGGATACGTCGAATCCGGAGAGAAATCATAGGAATAGAAAGAAGGTCGATGTCTAAGATTCGTGTCCTCGAGAGAGTAAATAGTGATGAAAATGAACAAAAGTCGACTGCTAGTAATGGAACATTTAGCCACATTTTTAATCTAAATTCTAATTTATGACGATAATTTTTTTTCGCTAAAGTGGCTTGCAAGGAAAATTTTGCATAGAACACACATACCTCAGTAAGCAAAAAACATTTTGAAATATTTCTGCAACACTGTAACAATGTTACAATGTTGCTGAAATATTCCAAAATGTTTCTTACTTGAACTCAGGCTAATGATTCCGAGTATCCTGCGCCGGAAGTAGCTGCTGGAAGAAAATAATAGAAGAAGATAACTAGGCAATTTACCTTTGCGGCAGATGTAGTCGCCAGGTGAGAAAAGAACGGGCCGTAATCGCAGCACCAGCTCGCACAGGAAGCCAGCCTCCGTGTTTTGGAAGATCTCGACCCTTCTCAGCGTGTCCAAGTGCACGTTTATCGCGATTTCTGCCTTTAGCTTATCTGCGAAAAAGAGAAAATGATTGCGGAGTGTAAAAAGAGGAAAAGAAACAGGGAAGGCCTTGTGTACAGTGGAGGAAATATTAGGAATAAATATTAAGATTTTAATCTATTAGGAATTATATATTCCGGTGTAATCAATTTCTGACAGGTTGAAATCTTAATATTTATTCTTATTTCTATTTCTTCCATTGTCGCAGTCTCTAGAAATCAGAATGTAAAAAGAGAAACAGGAAAGAATCAGAATCTCTCCGAATTAACGAGAATTAATAACGAGAATAGTTCATATTTTCGCCGCGCAGGATGTGCTGAAAACGCAATGTACACAGGTCGCTATAACATATAAAGAGTGTGTATCCATTTTTAATTAACTTGCAATTTCAAAAATTTACACGATGTACGCTTTTCATTCTCGTTTTCTTTCCGTTATTTTATGTACTCTTCTCTCTCTTGATATTTAAAATTCCGTAACGCGCGCGGTTAAATTTTTGTACGCAACAATTCACATCGCCACACAGCAGAAGTCATTGTACTCCAGAGGACTGTTTCTATTGCATTGCATGGCAACTTCATCCAAAACTTCAAAGAATAAAACTATTCTGAGAAGAAAAGATGTTTTTATCAAAGCTCGTCTCATTAGCGTGAGCGACATTTCTCATTCTTATCTGCAAAAGGTGAAAAAAATCCTTGTTACAATTAAGTGAAATAAAAATAGTCTACTGAAGTTCTTTTATAAATCAATATACGCATGGATCGTGATATATTCTTTATAAATTAATGTTATTTCTTAATATTATCTCGAATGTAAAATTATTAATATTTTTGTACAAACTGAATAATAAATTAAAACAGTTTCCATTATAAAGAATATTTCCGATTTTAATATCCGTTCTTTTCGGAATATGTTTAAAAAGATTTATTATTATAAATCTCTTATTATAATATATAATATATAA